CACATGGCTCCGTGTGACCTTTGGCTATTTCCCAAGCTAAAAATGCTGCTAAAAGGAACCCAAATTTAGTCGAGAGAAGACATCATGCGAAATGCGATGGACCGGCTGATGGCCATTCCAAAAGATGCGTTCCAGCAGTGTTTCCAGCAATGGCAGGAACGCTGGGAGAAGTGTATACATTACCAAGGAGACTACTTTGAAGGGAATTAGGGTTTTGTACCTCAAAGTCAATAAATTTATTTTTGCCGACCAAAGGTCCGATACTTTTTGAACAGACCTTGTACACACCTTGAATAAACAAATCAGAAAAAATATCCGTAATGAAGAGAAAAACTATTTCAAATGTTAAATCTCCTTCTGACTTCTGGAAAAGTATTAAGACATTACCCTTTCAGGTAACCAGGACAAAGAAAAAGGTTAAAATAGATCATTTGAATTACAAGGGGAAAATGATAAATGATGAGTGCACTTTTAGTGACATTTTTGCCGAGCATTACAGGTCATTGAACGACTTTGCTCCAGACGTCTTCGGCAATATCAATTCGGAGCAACACAGAACAAATGTTAGTATTTCTAATACTTTCCTTTTGGAAAACACAAGAGCCTTAGATGTCTATAATACTATAGAAGGTTTGAAAAAACAGCACTCCAGACATCAGTTTCTTAAATATTGAAATCTTAAAACACATATCTGATATCTTAGCTCAACCATTATCGTTTCTAATAAATAAATCTTTTGAAAACGGTTACTTTCTGGAAAAACTAAAATCAAAACTTACTTTTGCCATTATCTAAATATATAAAATTACTTGTCCTGACTGACTTAGTCACAGATTCATCATCGCCCAGAGCAAACCGCTGAACCTAGAGGTGAAATTTAGTACACAGTTAGGGTACGCCATGAAAACACACACTAAGAAGGGATTTTTTGAAATCCCCCCCGCGGAGGAGAGGGAGAGCATTAAAGCTTAACCGGAAGAAGGGCTTCTACTGTAGTATTTTAGATGCAATTTTTTGTTTTTAACTGCGTTTTAGTAGGGCACGACATGGGAATGCCCACTAAGAACAGATTTTTCGAAATTCCCCAGTGGGGGGAGAGGGAGAGCATTAAAGCTTAACATGAAGCATGACTTTTGAAATTGATTCCATACTTTCCCTTAAATTGATAACATTTCAGACATTTGAAATATATGAAAATATTTATAACATTTTTTAACCAAATGTTCGAACCGTTTTAAATTCGCATTTGTTATTGCGTATTGGTTCGATTATAGAACGATTGTAAACGTTCCAGAAAATTGATCAAATTGAAAACAGTTTGTTTGATTCTCGGCAATTCTCATTATTCTCAGCGGTAGGTGTTATATAACAATTACTATGATTGTTGAAATACTGAATATAAATGGGGTTTGATTGCAAAACCTCTGTGGGCAAAGTTGCGGGTAACAGCTAGTATAAAAATAAAGGATCAAAAAGTGAGATTGAAAATTATTGTCCCATAACAATAGTGTCGGTGTCGGCTAAAATTTTTGAGAAGATTTCTTACAAGAGATTTTCAACTTTTATAGACAAATTCCAGATTATTCACAGAAACCAATAAGCTTATAAATGTGGATTTTCAACGGTAGATGCTTTGTTGCATTTGAAACAATCAATGCAATTTGAAACAAATAACGTCACAACTTGACAAATCAAAAATAGCAATATTAGTTTTTGTAGACCTTTCAAAGGCATTTGATAGCTGAAATCATGAACTTTTGTATCAAAAATTACCAACTGTTGGTCTAAGAGTGATTCCTCTAAGCTGCTTAAAATCATACCTGTCAAACAGAATTTACTTTGTAAAAATTGGACAGATTATCTCTAGCTCATTCCTCAAGGTTCAATCTTGGGTCCACTGCTTTTCAATATATATATTAATGATTTGTTTAACTATATACCAAAAGAGAATATACTGATGTACGCTGATGATCTAGTGATAACTTATTCTCATACAAATGTTATAATTCTTCGGGAGAATTTAAATCACATTTTAAAAATTTTAAATAGTTATATGGAAAACAATGGCTTAGTAATAAACAAAAATAAAACTAAATTCCTTCACTTTGCAAATAGGAATAAAATAATCAATCCACATCACCTAAAAATTAAAATAACTGATTATAACATAGAAAAAGTAAATGCTATTAAGTTTTTGGGAGTAACTTTTGATGAAATCTGTGCTGGAATAAACATATAGATGACGTTGCACTTTCCCTGGCAAAGTATACTGGGATAAATAAAAAAATTCAAGCTTTTTTTAAGTACATCACTCTTGAAACGGTGGTACCACACTTGCATTGAATCTAAAATAAGATGTGGTATTGCTGTATGGGGAACCGCATTCTATACGCCGTTAATAAACTTCACATGACACAAAATTGTTACACACGTTCAATTTATAATTTAAACTTTATGGAATCGGTATCTGAACTCTACTGCACTGATAATATTGACAAGATTAGTGAAATTTACAAGAAACAGATTCTGTTGGAAAGTTTCATATATATAAAGGGCAAAAAGGAAAACAGCTTCCTTGGAATTGGTACGGGAGAATGTTGCAAATCGACACGAGATACTTGTATAATTCATGGATATAATCTCCCAATTGTTAAACTAGAGGTGGGGAGATCTGCACCAATCTTTCAATTAATCTTCTATTGGAATAGTCTGTGCAATGATTTACGTAACATATCACGTTATGAAATTTTCAAAAAGAATGTAAAAAAAAAAAAAGCCACAGTGATATTTGTTCTCAATTAATTTTTGGACTTGAGGTAGAATGTATTTTTCTTTCTCAGCTTGCATCTTGTTTTTGTTTTACTTTTTCTTTTTTGTTTGTTTTGTTGATTTTGCTTTAAGTTGCTTGGAAAAGGCCAACCTGGCCACAGTGTCTTTTTAAGAAATAAATAAATAAATAAATAATTTAAATTCTCTTACTCTGCAGAAAATAGAAAATGGGACTAAATTCTAATAATGTTATTAATTTTAGTTATTTTGCAATTAATTTATTGCCTCAGGGAAATCAAACACTCTTCTTCAGTTGTGCCATTTTTTCTTGTGCCATTTTTTCAGTTGTGCCAGTAGATTCTTGGCAGAGTATTAGTGTAGTGTACTTCTTGTCATTTTGTTTGATATAAAAGACAAATTACAAATCCAAGATTTATTTGTTGTTAAACTCTCTTGTAAATATTAGGTATCTGTCGGGCAGAAAGAGTCATGTGTTCGTGTCGTATTACACCAAAGATTGATTTTTGAACAGGCAATACACTCGGTGTTGCCCGACAAAAATGTGTACTTAAAAACTAGATAGAAAAGATGCCCGACAGTGAATTACAAGGCGATTTCTTCACCTCGTTAGAAAGAATTAAGAAATTCCTTACCTTTCTGATAATCCTTGAATAAACTGCACTCATTCCTTAGCAGCATTTAAAACATAATTCTCACCAAGCTTTGACTAACAGTTCCAGTAATCCTCGGAATATAACCACTTTATTGATAAATCTCTCTCATGTCGAAACAGTTCATACTTTGAATCGTATTCTCCGATCAGGAAGTGTCACTATCGAAAAACTCTTATGGTACCACAGATTGTATGATACCAATAAACTGATCATGGATTCCATTGACAGCCATCAATATGTAGGACCATTTTTAGTCAGAGACTAAAAATGGTCTTACAGTTCTAATTGGAGGTTCCTAGCCATCCTAATATCACTTTTCATCAGATACAACCAGATGTACTTTATAAACCATACCAGATCTGGCAACTTAACCTGAGAGAAAAAAGTAGAATGAAATGATTAAGTAATAAAATTTAAAACTTCTACTTTAATTAAAATTATTGAAAAATGTATTTTATAAAAAAAGGTTTTTAATATTTATACAAAAATACATTATCAACCATCAGTATGGATTTAAGTTACTAAACCATGGACACAATAACACATCTTAAGCAACCGATAATTACACAGCTTGATAAATTGAATATAATAACTACAGTTTATGTTGATAAGACTGAAGCATCTGATAGTATAGATTTAACAATTTTAGAAAAAAATTATATAATGTTGGTTTATGAAGTCCTGTGTTGAAATGGATAATTTCATATTTCTCTAATAAGCAAAAGGATACAGGAACACAGTTATTATATCGCCAACCAAAGGCATACCACCGTCCTAGCCGCCTATGCCACGGACCCTGAAATACAAGCTGACCTCCATAAGGCTAAATTGGTGAAAATGTCAGGTCAGGTTGAGCACCTTTGCAACCTGGAAGCAGTAGAAATATACAAAGCCAGCCTGTCCGGCAACTGTATTAATGCAAAGGATGCCGCTAATGTTTCGTATACATGGAGGTGGTGCTATGAAAAAAACGAGGGCAACACAAGCAAATAGCTACCATTTCTACACCATTAATTATATTTTATTTATTTGTGGTGATGTAAGGATATTTTTATCACTATTGTAGCACATACAGCTCAAAAGCCTGAAGAAGACCATGTTGATGGTTGAAAATGTTAGTGTGTCGATAAGAAAAGGTTCTAGTGTGTCGATATTATTACATTAACACAAACAGTTCAATATAAAAAAGTTTTAAAGCAGATAAAGGAGTTTTTCAAGGTTCAATAATATGTCCACTGCTATTCAATATACAGGGTCATTATAATTAAAGTTTCACTTTGAAATGGCCATAAAAGAAAAATTACTGGATAGAATGTTATCAAACTTTGTTAATAGTTTACAGGAAGTCATAGTTCAAAAACTCACCACCAGTGAGGAATGGCGCTGTATGCAATATTGTTAAACAAAATAAGACATGAAGACATTGGTCAAAAATGTTTTTGATTGTCTTATTTTGTTTAACAATATTGCATACAGCGCCATTCCCCATTGGTGGTGAGTTTTTGAACTATGACTTCCTGTAAACTATTACCAAGTTTGATAACACTGTGAAATGGCCATAAAAGGAAAATTACTGGACAAAGTGAAACTGTAATTATAATGACCTTGTATAAATGTATTATTTATATATAGCTAATATAATTCCTGAAGATAATATATTATTATATGCTGATGTGATTACTATTACAGGTGGAGCCAAAATATTAAAATGTGAATTTTATATTAACAAACTTAACTACATATTTGGAAAGTAATAATTTGATTGTAAACAAAAACAAGAGAAAATTTTTGTGTATTGTTAATAAGAATAAAAATTGCGATCTACATTTGCTTTGTTTCTGAATTAACAATAAAAGAATCAAAAGAGTAAAATATATAAGATACCTAGGAATTAGAATTGATTATAAATTCCAATGGCCTGTACACGTAAGTAACCTTTCTATGGCTTTTGCTAAATTTACAAATGTCAGTAAAAGAATTATGCACTTTCTTGATTCAACTATTATATGAAAATTATACCATACATGTAAGGAATCAAAAATAAGAAATGCTGTTACAGTTTGGTGCACGAGACAGTAATTAACAGACTTCAAATTATGCAAAATAATTATATAAGAACAACGTATCAGTTGCACTACACAGAAACCATCTCTCTCGTACAAAAAATAAAATTGATATCAATATGTAGTTTAAAAAACACATACAACTGGATAGTTTTAAATTACTTATTCAACATAGAAATGATTCCCATCTCAGTAATCTGTTAAATAAACTACTATATATCCTCTCACTATAACTCTAACTGGACACACAATTTTCTTCTACAAATCATTAAGCACGTAATAGGAGGATCTGCTCCACTCTATCAATTGATTTATCACCGGAATAATTTGGATAAGAACTTTTAAAATTATTAATACTTGCAGAAAATTCAAAAATGCCACAAAAAACACTTCATTTTTTATAATATGCAAAATTGGTTGGATTTTGTTTATTTATAAACATCTAATCTCTTGTTCAAACGTACCCCATGAATTGTAAAGTAAATAAATAATTACAATATGTTTATGTTTTGTATTTATTTATTTGAGTCTGTTTTGTTGACACTTGGGATCTTTAAATTAAATTTTATTACAGTTAAATTTAAAAAAAAAATTTAAACTTACCAGTTAGTTTACGATATAATCCAGGAGCTTGAAAAACAACAAGAACCAATGCCTCAAAAACAAAATGTTTCACTTGAATTAGGATAAAACTCTCGAAAGTACGGCCTCGTTCGGGGATACAACTGTAAAGAAAAGAGAGTTTAAGTAAAATTAAAAGCAAAATTCGTCTTATTCTTTTTTAATAATTCTCCCAAATTGTTATAATTTAGACACGCATTCAATACCTTTCTAGCAGTACATATCGGTACATTCAGACACACACGAAATGACTTTCGTGCAAGAGGACTGTATTTGATTCTGATTACCATATTTTATTTTTATATTTTTGTCACTGTATTGTTATAAACTCACATATAAATCATTAGTTCACTCTTAAGCTAGCATATGGCTAATTAATAATTAATCAAAATAATTTAGCTAAAAGGCATGTTATCGGGCTTCAGTCTTGTGTTAAACTTAGATTAATAAAATACTTAATTTACGTCAAATTAAAATATTTAAATGTAAATTAAATTAAAATATTTAAGTTTGTAGATATACAAATATAAACATTTGTAATTCCCAGTAATAAAGCCAAACAATTTCCAGATTAGATTGGATTATATTACTGCTACTATTAACTTTCTAAATTAATTTCATTTTAATTATTAAATTTGATAAGACGTGGTCTACTTCTAGGCCAAATTACTCGGCATTTAATTATTGAAAGTTACGATACTACACTTGTGATGGCACAGCATGGCCTATATGGCTCTTGTGCCAAAAACTCGAACCAGCCAACCTACAATACCACAGCCCAATCTAATGTTGCAATCATCTGGTTTGTTATAACCAAAGTGATATTTCAACCTGCATCTTTTGTATATGTCATAGAAATGTTATCACTTATGACACCTGGAACCTCCTCACTTCCAAACTATAATTAAGGCTATGGGTGTGTTTGTAAAGTTGAACGAGTTAAATGAGAATAACTATGATTTTTCTCTTACTTGTTAGATGTTTTGACTGATCTTTTTATGACAAAATTGCCATTTTGAAAACCAAAGTGACGTATGTTGCTAGTGCAGTCTTATCCAAAGTATTTTTCTTAGATTGCTTCTAGTGAGTTATTTTTATCATTTGATTTTTTAATCCACAATTTAAACATTTGAGTAGATTTAGAAACATCGCTATCACCGGATGCCATTTTCTTCACGATATAAACTAACTCTTTCCTTCGTGAATTTCATTAGAGTTTCATTTGAAATGTCATCAATGTTGAGCTAGGTAAAATTTGTATTTTATGACTGACTCATTAGTAATGCGTTTAACTGTACAAACCTACCCTATATTGATGACCAAAGTGTAAAAAGGCATTATTCACTATTTATCAATTCTGAGTTTAGTGTAGCTATAAGTTGTAGGACTTACAAATACACTAAGCTCACAAGTGGGTAAAATGGTTCCGGTTTGTCTTCCTTATAAATCAAAAAACAGTGGGTATATAAAAGAACAGTTCAAATGTTGTACTCTTTTACCCTCTGATAAAGCATCGAGTGACTTGTGTCTTTTTCCCTTTCAACTTGGTCAAGACTGACTCCTATATTATGCCTTATTGTCAAAATAATAAAGAGGACTTTGGAAGTGTTTACATATAAGCATATGATGATCAAACTTTAAACATATTAATAAAAAGCCAACACATTAAGTGAAGCAAATGCATTAATATTCGTAACGTTAAAAGTGCTGAGCAAATAAACACACAAAAATAAAATACCTTAATTTGTTGCTGAGTAAAATATATAATTGAAAACAAACGTTTTCAGTCTGATTAACAGGTCATCATCAGGTCAAAAACGAAAATGGAACAGATAAATATTTGTATTCTACACATGGAATGTAAATCAAAATTTAGAACAAAAAAAATTTTTTTTTAAATATACAAGAGAAACGGAAGAACATATAAAATTAACACAAAATAAAATAAAAAATAAAAATATCATAAATCTTCCAATAAACTAATTTTAGCCCAAGTTTTTACTGAACTTTTTAACCATGTACTTCTACATTGATGGCAGGCTCTCAGTGTCTCTCGCATTTAAACATCCCTCACATAGCCTACTTCTATATATCTCAATCTTCTCCGCCGTCATTGATAAAGTGGGGGAAGATAAAGGTTTTATAATTGTTGCCTCGTCCTATTTCACCACCAAACCTTGCGACATTTGCGACAAAATTGTAGCATTGGATCCTTTTTTCACGTTATATCTATGCTCTTTTAGTCTTACTCCCAAGCTCCTGTTGGTGACGCCGATATAGTCTTTCTTAACATCTAGTTGGATGTTCTCTTAAGGAACTTTATAGACACCTGGTTTTTCTTCTGTTTTTATTCTACCTTTATCATTCCTCAATATCTTATATAAATTTGGGGCTTTTTTTAAAACCATTCTTGCTTGTTTCCTAAAAATGATCAACTAACAATGATCAACTGATGAAGAAAGTTACTCGTGAACCTTTCGTTATCCAAAGTCCACGGAAAGGGAAAAGGGTCGCTTTTAGAACTTCTCATCACGTAAGTCTATGTTGTTATTGTTAGATTATCATCGAAAAAACATTATAGCAATTCATAAATGTAGGTCGACCACGACAGAAAAAACTGTAGCTTCTATCCTGCGAAATGATTCATTATGGCACACAGAATGCACAAGACAATCTTCATCAGTTCCATTCCTACACATTCACCGAACCAAACCACCGGAGGCAATAATAATTATTGTTCTGGACATAACAATGGACAGATTTCTGGTGAATGTTAATAAAAAGCTGTAGTTTGCTACATTTTGCCTAATTACTGAATTAGTTATATAATTTCCTGTAATAGATTTCATTCGAATGCTCAAATGTATTTCACTGCTTGTCCTTATGTTGTTCGTTACAGACAAAAACATTTGTCTACATAAATAATTTTGATTGCTTTTACTGATTTTTGAGGTGTCATGTGAAGTTTTAGATCTCTGATCACTGACAAAAGGGCCAATGTTGAATGCAACTGTCTTTAAATTTAGTTGAACAGAGATTTTGTTCTCAAAAATTTTCATATCCTTCAAGATCATCGCACGTAGAGGACGTTTAAAAATGAATAAATAAAATGAAGTATCTGCACATATTAAGGACTGGACTGGATGAATTATTCTTCTTAAAAAAAAAATGAAAAAAAAACAGCATTTTAGTTAGACAAATAGCAAAACAATTTAATATCAGCAGAACTGTTGTGCAATATAATTTTAAACTTTACCAGAGTGATTTGACAAAAAATGGAAAAAGTGAGACTGTACGGGACAACCAAATGGAGATAGACAGACAGAGACAGAAGACAACTTTTCCACAATATTAATAATTAAAATTATGCTGCTTATGAACTGTTACAAAAGTACAAAAACTATTTCTGATAAATCATTGCATATCTTTATTTATTAAATGGGATGTGTCCGAAAAAGCTAAAATAAAAGTAATTATTTCTTGTCTTGAGTTGGGATGACATTAAAGTGGGAAAAACGCCGTAAACAGTGGAGTACAAATGACTCAAAACTTAATATTTTTTGACAAAAATAAGTGTGTAATGGATTTTACAAGCAAACTCCAGACAAATAACTACTGTACCTTTATCTAGTGCAGCAGCTTTATTTCTCTACAAAACAAATGTTTTTGATATTTCCCTAAGATCTTCAGGTATTAATCGAACAAAAAATAAAACATCTGAAGAACACGATGTATTTCAAATTCAAAAACGTTAATCAGATGTGTGTATAAGAATGACGTACTTAAATTATAAACATTTATTGAATTATGCTTGTCATGCACGAGATACATTTCTCCTTTATAATTAATACATCCTCCAAGTCGGTCTGCTTTAAAAATCTCCAGGGCTTCCAATTCTCTGAGTTGTTCAATAGAGACAGAACATCTCATCAACTGGGCTTGATGTAATTTTGTCATAACTTCATTGTCCAACAAATAAGTGGATGGAGCCTTAAAATACCAACATACCTTGTAAGAAGCTATCTATGTTCTGCCATACATTTTTTCAGAGATCTTTTGTACACCCTATATAAACCAGGTCAGTCTGGAATCTTTCATCATGTAACGCAGATCTGTCCAACCTGCAAACTTAAAATCGTAAATTTAAAACATAGATCTTTATGTACTTAACTTTTAATTTTTTGACATTTACATAGTGTAATAATTTTATATAAAAATTCTCATGAGATGCCATTAGTATACACTTATACCCCATTTGCACTGAGCATTTCAATCTATATTGTGACCAAGGTCAGTGACAATGCCTTGGTGCGATCTCTCTTGACTGTTTCAATCTCGACTGAAACAAGGTTCAATAGCGATTGACTCAAGATAGTTCTGGAAACTAGATCAGTCATAAGAGAGATCCCACAATCCCATGCTCACGAGAAAATACAAGATGGCCGCGGAACACGTGTTGGGATATTGACAGAGAAATAAAAAGGATACTGTATTTGGAGAGATGATGACATCTGTCTATTATTAGATATATGGAAAGAAAAAGTACTGTATTTATTTCTAACCAAAACTTCCATTTTGTTTCTTGGTGTTCGTGACTTACTGCATAGTTATGTCAGTTTTATCATCACATGTAATAGCCGGGTTCTTCTCAAGCAGACTGCCTATGCGAACAGCACAACGTTCGACTGGCAACAGTCACAATCCAGATTGTAGGTAAATCGAGATTGAAGCGAGTCGTGGATTGTGTGCAAACAGGGTATTAGGACTTTAGATAGTCATAATATTAGGCTATGACTATCTAAAAATATACATTGGGTGATTTTCTATTCAAGATGTTTTGTTAAAAGATAGTTAAGCTATTTCCACTTTAAGTTAGTCACTGTAATGCTAGTGCAGTGAGGTTCATAAGTGCCAAAGACAGAAGTCGAGATTGCTGCCACCATAAATTATATATGTATTATATACCATCTCAAATAAAAATATTTGGTAATTTGCACCAAAAGGACTACCCATTTCTAGTTTGATGCATTGACTACCTTTTATCTACATAAAGTATAAAAATACATGTAAAGGTGACATGAGTAGATTAGACATTCTAAGTTGAAACAAAAGATGAAATAATTTTTGTGTGGTGAGACAATTTTTTCTTCTTCAAATGTGACCCAAGAAAACTAAAAGGTTGGACATCCTAGTGTAACAGGACCTTATATGTACCAGGCATTATCTCTATGTTCATTGGGTCTTTCCCATTATATAGTAGTTTGTAAATGCTTTGATTTTCTCTGTATGCTGTATGTGTGCCTTTATATTTTGCTATTTACTTATGAAACATGCGTAGTTATATAATGTATGCGTATCATTTTTTGTTTGATTAATACCTGATGATGATCTTAGGGGAAAATCTAAAATGTGAGTTTTATAGGAAAATAAAGCTGCTGTACTAGATAAAAGGTACTGTGGTTATTTATTGATTTGTGAAGTCCAGTTTTGTGAAGATTTGCTTTCCAGACAACAAAATTAAAAAAAAACCTAAAGTTCTCAGTTACATTTCCTTAACAAATGATATTGAGCTGCATGAGAAATTTTGGAGCAGGCGTATTTTGAATGAAACTATGAACTCATATTCATGTTGACATTCTCAAATGTAAGTTATTGCCACGTATTCAAGAATGCTGGAGCTGACGACTATTTATCAACAAGATAATGCAGCTAGCAACAAACTGAAATTATCAGTAAAATGAAGGATAATAATTAGGGTTTCTCAAACAAGATCCCAGTTGTCTTTTTTAATCCAGGAAATTCTGCAAATTTCTTAAAAATTCACTTTTTTCTTATTTTGTGTTAAGGCTGAGGAAATTTTGCAAATAAAAAGCATGATTAACTCATAAACTGTCAGAATACATTTGAATTTATTAATTTCAAACCTACTTATTAGTTTTTTTAATTTTTGCTTGTTATGGCATGTCACAGATTATCAATAATCAATATGTAGCCTATTTGTGGCAGGACTCTGAAAATTCTTTACTTGTCAAAACCTGTAATATCTGGAATAGTTGTGCTAATGCTGTCTTAATTGTTAACTGCCCAGTAGCTTCAATAACTGCATAGCGCCAGGTTGTGCAAATTGGGCAAGGATACAAACGAGTGTGAAGTCTGCAAGTACCAAGTTATTCTTCATAACCTGATTACACTAGCCTGCGATGGTTCTGTTTTTTAACTTTTGATGATTGATTCCTATGCATGTTGGTGCGCTGAACCTGAAAATGACTTTAGTTCAGTTCCATCACGTAAGAATTTTTTGCAATTTGCAATGTGCCAAGTGTGGTATATGATGAAAAATATCACAGATATGAGACTTAATGACAAATTGAAATAGGCCTGTTTCGTATAAAATGTATTATTTTGTGGCTTATACTGTAATAGAAAATATAATATAATATAGAAATAGAAAATAAAACACTCACCATTTTAGTCGTCGTGTCGCCATCCATCTCTTTGGACCAGCTGTGGTCTGTATCAGGCTTTTTCGTGCATGTGATCTTCTGGGATCATCTCGATGTAACATCCAGCAATAGTCTTCCATCATTACAGTATTCCATCTGCCTTGGTAAAGCTTTTCCATTTCTTTGATATCCTGATGAAATCTCTCACCCATCTCTTCACTAACTGCACCCAGATTTTCAGGGAAGTAGTCTAAATGTGCATGTAAGAAATGAACCTTCAAACTCATGGAACAGCCTAAATTTTGGTACTTCTGCAGCATTGTTTCAACAATAGACTTGAAATTAGGATCCTTTTTCTTGCCCAGAAACTTGGTTACTACGTCTTTAAAGGCGACCTAGGCTTCTTTTTTCAGCAACTTCCATTTCTTTTTCAAAATTTCCATCTTTGCAAAGTTTTCTAATGTTTGGACCCGTAAAGATACCCTCTTT